TGGCATTCTCAAGCATTAGGGTTAGCATCGTTCTTTGCTGCAACGTGAAGAGTCAAAGAAGGCAAATTCTCAGCACTCCGTGGGTGTTTATGAGGACAGGGATGTGGTGTGTGACTCGCTGCTGCCCCAGCGTCTTTCCAGGGTGGCTGCCTGGACTGCAGACTGCAGGCTGAGACGAGTTTCCCAGGTGCCCCTGCAGCTGGGATTCTGCTCCAGTGCCAGGCTCTCACGGGAGCCTGCAATTCAGAAATGAATTCATTGAGGAAAGAGGTCCGTCTGCTCGCTGTGGCATGGTTCTGCCGTGGCTTCCCGATCCCAGATCTCAGCTGAGGCCCCTCCTTCCTGGTGCCACCATGTCCAGGGCAGTCCAGATTTTCTTCTTTCCTTGACTTTTTGAATGACATACTCTTTAATTTGTGTGCTATACTCTTTATGAGTGTACAACACACACACACACACACACACATATATCATGCCTTTGATTCTGTGGGATTGCTTGCCCTAATTTTAAGACTAAAAAAATCAAGTGTTAAAGAACAAGAAAAACCAATGTCCTTATGCGCTACTGTTTTATAAAGTGGATCATCCGGGTTCCAGGTATACTGTGTGTCAGGAGGCGGTGGTGGGTGGGAGAGTTGCCTGGGGGAAATCTGAAAGCAGCCTCTGTATGCGGAAGATAGGGACAGACCAAAGAAAGGCAGACCACTGCAGGTTGAATAAGCCATGTAAGATATATTACGGGGAAAATTAACACACAAGGTGGGGTCCTGGGCGGCAGCAGGCTGGGTAGATCTCCGCACTGCTGCCTCAGGTGGCAGAGAGTCTATAGAGGGGCCAGGGTGGCTTTGTCACACGACCGTCCTTCCCTCAAGTCCGAAGTCACCGTCTGGATCCGGGCTCCTTCACAGTATTCTGTTCCCTGGCCTCCTGCTTGTGGCGCCAGCGTTGTCATTTCAGGGAAGGCGTTGTTTGTCAGAACCGTGCTCAGCTTCAGGCCCGGGGCAGCTTCACACATCCTGGGTTGGTCACGTCTTCATTTGTCCTCCCAACACTGTGTTTTCTGTATTACGGTGTAGGAAATGTATTGACCTTTCACCCTTTTCCTTTAGGATGATGTACATCCTGCGTCGCTATAGCAACTGTCTTAGTTTCTTAGCGGTGCTGTAACAGAAATACCACAAGTGGGCGTCTCTGAAGAACAGAAATTAATTTTCTTTCACTTCTGGAGGCTAAAAGTCCAAATCAGGGTCTTGATGGTGTCAGTACCATCCTTGTCTGCAGCCCCTGGCGTTCCTTCATTCCTTGGCGATCCTCATGTGGCATCTGTCTTTGTGTGTGTGTGCACGCGCGTGTGCGCCTCTGTGTCTAACCTGCTTTTTTTATAACTCAGAAGTGATTAAGTTTAAAATATACTCTCCCATTGCCTTCAAGTTCACTCTGACTCATAGTGACCCTATAACATAGCAAAGAAAACCCTATTTCCAAACAGGATTGTATCCACGGGGCTAGGATTCCAACACATTTTGGGGATATGCAATTCAATTCTTAATAGCAATTATTACTGCTCTTGACAAATCTTTTTGATTTTTAATAAATTTATTATATGCTTCTATTGAACCTAGGCAATGGATGCTGATGATAGCTTTCAAAATTTTTCTTTATTTGCTTTTTTAAATTATAGAATAATACTTCCTTGTTGTAACAAGTAAAATATTACAGAGGTGTACAAAGATAAAATTATAATCTTCCCTTTTCTCTACTTCAGACTTTCTCCCTGAGTTTAGAAATGAGGTCAGTTTGTTGTGTCTTCTTCATGGCCCTTCATTGCGTTCATACAAATATACACAGAGAGATTAGCACACATCTGTAAAGGGATTTCCCCCATTTAGTTCTTAAAAATGAGATGACACCATATTTATCACTCCACTTCAGTGTACAGCAGACTCGCCTGGCAGGCTTGTTAACTACCGACTGCTGGGCCCTCCCTCAGTTTCTGATTCAGTAGGTCTAGGGAGGACCCTGAGAATTTGAATTGTCAGCGGGTTCCTAGGTGATGCTTATGCTGTTAGCCTGGAATCGACGCTTTGAGAACCTCTTCTCTGCCATCCAGTCTCAGTGTATCGTAGACGCCCACCCGGCCTCGGTGAGCCGTAGGCGTCCACCCGGCCTCTGTGTGCCATAGGCGTCCACCGGGTCGTGGTGTGCCGTAGGCGTCCACGCGGCCTCTGTGTGCCGTAGGCGTCCATTGGGTCGTGGTGTGCCGTAGGCATCCACCCGGCCTCGGTGTGCCGTAGACGTTCACCGGGTCGCGGTCTGCCGTAGGCGTCCACCCGGCCTCGGTGTGCCGTAGACGTCCACCCGGCCTCGGTGTGCCGTAGGCGTCCATCGGGTCGCGGTCTGCCGTAGGCGTCCACCCGGCCTCGGTGTGCCGTAG